CTGTTCCAATTTCTTTAGTTGAATCTATGAAAATGGCAAATATAGCTCGACATCTTATATTTTCACAGCCATAAAATAGAATTTTGCATCAACAAGGAGATTCCCAAAGTGCTTTTAGCTTTAAAAAAAAAACAAAAACAAACCAAAACTGGTATATCTTGGTCAGGTGTGGTGTGCAGTGTATGCTTATAGAAAACAGACAAGTAGGGGACGAAAACAGGTCAGAACCGCCCCGCAAAAACTAAACGATCTGCGGCGGATGAACAGTATCTGAAAGTCACGCCCTTAAGTAAGAGAAAACCCCGCAAAGACCTGACACATGACCTGAGAGATTCATCTAACCTTTCAGTTGATCCATCTGCTGTTCAGTGAAGCCTCATTAGAGATGGTCTCAGTGGAAGGGAGGCTATCGTGAACATGAAAGGAAACAGGGAGGAAAGGTTGAGGTATGCCAAATTACACCATAACCTGACTTAAATAAGTGGAAACAGGTCTGATGGAGTGATGAATCCAAATTTGACATTTCTGGTTCAAATTGTCAGCAGGAGGAAGTCAGGAAAGAGCTACAACAGTGAGTGTCTAGAGCCATCTGTAAAACACGACAGGAGATCTGTCATGGTTTGGGGCTGCATTTCAGACAGTTGAGTTGGAGATCTTGTTAAAATTGATGGAGTTATGAATGGAGTTAGATTTTGATCCACTGTGCAACACCATGTAATACCATGGAAATCTGGAAATATTGGCAACGGATTCCTTTTTCAGCACGATCCCAAACACACTGCCAGTGCAGTAAAAGCATACCTGGATAGAAAATACACACAATGGAGCACTATCAGTCATGAACGTGGCCCCTCCTCCGGAGCCTGGACGTCAATATTATTAAAGCGGTGTGGGATCAGCTTGAACAGAAGTGAACAAAAGGCAGCCAACATCCAACGAAGAGCTTTGAAGCTTCAAGGAGCCGACAGAACCACTGACTGCTTAAAGAAATTACAACGAAGCTTAAAAGAGTCTAAAACAGTTCAGGCTGTGCTAAAGAACTCGGCTGGTTATACCAAATATTGACTTCAATAAGCTTCATTAAGCTCAAGAATTCAGCACAGTACTTAATATATGTAGGTACCTGCAGCTTTTTTTAATTTTATTTGACATTAAATATTTATAACAAAAAACAGTGATGATGTCTAAATGTCCTTGTCAACAAAATCTGAAAATGAGAAAAGGGATAAAAATGTTAAATGCAGAATAGTAATGACTAGGGCTGGGCTATATCATACCGTTCACGGTAATACCTGTGTAATTTTGGGCAACGATAGGAAAATGACATATCGCGATAGAATATGGGTAAAACGCGCATGCGCAGTGCCTTTGTTTACATACGCACATGGCGGCGACGCAGAATGAGAAGAGCGAAAGCGGATCGTTGAATGAAACGGATGAACCAGAATTGGTTTGTAAAAATGCTGCAACTTCAGTGGTGTGGAACTGGTTTAGCTTTCGTCCGTCAGATACACAACAAAGCACTATTTTTGGTAGCTAGCATGCTAGCGGTCCGTCGTTATTACCGTGTTGTTTGGAAAATACGGCACACTTAAAGTCAATCCTTTGATTTTTCTGAAAATCGACAGAGCCCCTTATAATCCCGTGTGCCTTATGTATGAATTCTCGTTGTGTTTACTGACCTCGAAACGATTTTATGTGGTACACGGCGCTCGAAAATCTGTCAAATGTTTTAGTACGACTGGGCTAAGCTACGAAGCCGCACCGCTTGATGGATTGTCGGAGCATTACGGCTATCGTAGGCGGAGCCTCGCGGAGTGATACGTACTGTGCTTCAACATAATATTACCGTATTGTGTGTGTATAACCTCTTTTTAAGTTTTGTGGATATTATACTTGGTTATGCTGAGGATATGTCGGCCAATTTCAGCTGGAAATGCCTTTTGATTAAACTGTCAGCAAGGAATTTGCATTTGCACTGTTACATTTTTATATAACTTTAATGCACACAACAAACAGCTGCTTGTTTAAGTGAAAATACATTGATGGGGTTTTTTGCACTAATAAAGTTGTGGAGTTGTAAAATATTTTGTCTAGTGTCAATTATATCGTCAGTTATATCGTTATCGCAAATTTTCAAATGTATATCGTGATAAATATTTTTGGTCATATCGCCCTGCTCTAGTAATGACAAATATTAAAACCTTTAAAATGCTTGGATGGATACTGATCATAGATATCGCTCTGTATTTATGTTCAGATGCCGCTTCTATTTGTTCAGTCCTTTAAAATAATCCAGTTAAATGAATTCTCTTTCTCCAGCAGTGACACTGTTCATTTTCCTCAAATAAACCATTACAGGGACACATTCTCAATGAAGTAATCTTCATTACCACAAAATCCACTGCACCCCACTTCAAAATAAAACCTCTGACTTTTGAGCTTTTGTGAATTCATAAGTAAAACTCCACATTTTTTCACCACAGCTCGTTGATATTCACTTAGCACATGTAGCCAGCCTCCAGAGTGCAGCTGAGTAACTGACACACAGAAATAATCTGTTCTTACATCATCCTTCCACTGCTGCTTTTTTAACAGCAGCAGGTACTGGAAACCATGTATAGATCGTCTCTTAAATGAGACAGCACAACCCTTCTGGATCTGAATGCATGACGCAACGCCTCCTTTTGTCTCATGCAATATGAAACAAAAAAGCTGAGTGATAAAAAAGAAAAAGCTCCTGAATCTTATGAGGACAGGAAAACATTCAGATTTCTATTTCTTTCATTATTTATTACGCTGATTCATCTAAACTGGAAATAGAAAACATCGCCATGATTATGTTTTTGTCAAACAACCTTTCCAAAAACCAAAATAAATAGCGGGCTTACTCTTAGCAGCTTCAGCTGAATGGTGTGATATTTCAGTTTCCACCTCTCTCAACTTCAACATATAAACATTAAGGCTGGTTTGATATAAGAACAATGATCATCTCTTCTCTTATCTTGAGTCGCTTCAAGGATGTTTCAGTATCAAGTGGAAAAAAAAAAAAAATCCAGCTTAACTTCAAGAGCACAGTGAAGCATAGAGATGGTGCAGAGATAGCAGTCGCACATTAGTGTTAACTTATAGCTCGGCTTCAAGGAGACGCTTTCAATTTCAAGTTGCAATCAGCTTACATACAAAGCTACTCACACACTGTTCAACCTTTGACCCTCATCAACACCAGCTGGCTTATTTGCCCATGGAAACAAACAGGAAGTGAAAACGATATTTTACAAATTAACAGATCAGATCGAGCTGCAGTCAATAAATACATGCCTTGGAAAATTTCCTTATACATTTTAGAGCCGATAAGAAGATAAAGCCTATCTGATTAAAATATTTATAACATAACCATCGTCAATAATCAACTTATTATAAACCTGATGCAGCATTTATGCCATCTGCTAATTAACTATGCTTCGAATATAACTTATAAGACTAATTTATGTTCAGGTCACTTTCAAAATGTAAATATTACATCTTTATCTGACCAATTCTTCACAACGAAGGCACAATGTGCACACTGACAGCAGTATACTCTTTAGCAAAGGGATCAAAATGGGATTTGGCAGGTAAGGGAACCTTAAGTTCTGGTGTAGCATTGCAGGGGGGGAAGTGATTCACCTCAAAAGGACTGATCTGATTTGTTGAGTTAAATAGAGTTAGCCATATATTATATAAGCAGATGTTACACGAGCGATC